GTGTGATCCATAGCCCAAGGTATCTCACACGTTCGTGGCACCAGTGGAACGGGAATCATCGTCTCAGTTGTTTGCATTCAGTCTCGGGTATGGTGATGTTAAAAATGTCACACTTCGTTAGGTTGAGTTTTAGTCCTGAGAGGCGCCCATAGTTTTTGAATTCGGTCAGTAACTGTGGTATGGAATCTTCTGGGTTCTTGAGGAAAAACAGCATATCATCCGCGTAGGCGGCGACTTTATGTTAGTGCGTTTTGTAGCTTAGCCCTGTTATGCTCTGTTTTTTCCGAATGCGATCCAGGAGCGGCTCCAGGGTGAGGGCAAATATGAGCGGGGAGAGTGGGCATCCCTGCCTTGTGCCGTTCCGGATGTCGAAGCTATCCGTAAGGGCCCCATTCACTCTGACTCTGGCGTTCTGTTGACTGTAAAGCGCGATGATCCATGCGAGCATACCACGTCCCATGCTCATTGTGCGTAATGTCTCCGTCATGAAGTTCCAGTCTACTCTGTCGAAGGCTTTTTCAGCGTCTGTGGAAAGCAAGAGTAGTTTAGTCTTTGTTTGTTTGGCTAAGTGTTGTACTGCGAATAATCTGAGGGTGCAGTCCCTGGCCTCTCTTCCCGGTATAAAGCCTGTCTGGTCTCGGTGTATTAGTCTCGTCAGGTATGTTTGAAGTCTCGTCGCTAGCACCTTGGAGAAAAGTTTTATGTCGGTGTTAAGGAGTGATATTGGGTGGTAATTTCCGACTTGCTCCGTGTTTTTACCCGGTTTAGGGATGACTGTGATGGTTGCAGCTAAGGTTTCCCTGCTGAAGGTGTTTCCTTCACGTATGCTATTTATTGCCTTAGTTAGGTGGCGTATAAGAATGGTTCCGAATTTCTTGAGTTATTCTATTGGGAAGCCACCCGGTCCTGGTGCTTTTCAGGTTTTTCCTACTTTCAGTGCCTGTCTAATTTCCTCTTTGGTGATAGGGGCATCGAGTTCTTCTGCTTCTTCCGGTGTGAGGGTGTCCGGTTGAAAGCCACCTAGGTAGTCTGTCTTGTCTGTCTTCCTCGCGATTTGGGATATTCCATCTTCGTCCCCATGTGTATTGTATAACTGTGTGTAGAACCGGTGGGATTCGCTCGCAATGTCTTCTGGAAATTGAGTTGTTGTGCCTTGGGCGGTATCCATCCTAGTAGTTTACCCCCCTTGTTGGCATGTACGTAGAAGAATGCGTGTGATCTTTGGAGGGTTCTGACGTGTTTGCGTTCAATAAGTTCTGAGAGTGGGCCATTTCCATGTCGGATATCTTCGGTGTTAGGTCAGCTATCTGTTGTCCGGTTTCCTTTTTCCGTCGAGTAGCCATGTGAATTAGGTGACCTCTGATGGCACTTTTGTGTGCCTCCCAGATCGTCATATCCGAAACCCCCTCGGTGGTGTTGTCTGCGAAGTATTGGTTTAAGTGTTCCGTGAGTTGAGTCCTAAGTAGCGTGTCCATCAGGAGTGATTCATTGAGCCTCCATGTGGTTCTGGTTGGTCAAAACATGGGCGACGACATAGTT